CCCAGCTATAAGCTAGTTAGTTATGCCTGTATAAATTCATGTCACATTCTGGCCCCTTTGGTTGTGTTGGATGGCTAAGTACAGAGATGCGAGACCACCTCACGCTATTACTGTTTAAAGCAGGATTGCATAAAGAACAGCTAAGTGTAGATTTAAGTTATAGTTTTGCATTTAACATTCAAAACATTTACAGTCTTAAACAATAACATTCATTTAAATATCGTACAACTATGTTGAGTGGTTAGATTGTTAAGAACATTCATGTCGATTTAATGTTTAAAATATCAAATCTTAGGTTTCATTACATTATGTCTTGTATGAAGTATTACTTTTTATGAATATTATTATTGTACTAACATCATATAAAATATCAAATTAATTAAAGTAATGCTACATTTCATATATTCTCTTAAACTTTTCATGTCTTGTATTTTATCGTAGTTGTTTTTCATTGATATTTAGTACGACTCTTACCACCACTTTCTTTTCTTTGACATATAACCACTACATATTCACTAGAACTCTACAATGTCATGTATCAACAACGAACATCATGAATAAATATAGTCATTAGTTTAATATACAACTGTAACTTTCTTTCTCTGTATATGCCTGGCGCCCAATATCTGTATTTTTTGTTTATTGTTATTGATTAGTTTTTTCTCTAGTGAAATACCTTACCCACGACTGCTCTCCGATGAAAAGCTGCCGTTCGCAGTGGTAGTTGTTAAAAAAAAAATACGCTACAACTTATTCAGTACAGCAGGTAATGTATTCAAATTGTTAGCCTTAGTATTATCTATCGTATTATTGTTACCAATGTTGGAAGGGTGGGTAATTTGAATTGAGGATGGGGATATTTCGTGAGAGGAACAGCCACAGGCACAACAATCAGCATCATTGTTACTAGCAATATGTACACTAATTATAAAAAATACATAATTATTTTAAATACTAGCTAAATCTTAAGTTACTATCAACTTATGTACTTAATCTTCTGCCAGCTGATATTTCGGATTAATATCTTTAAAACTAAAACTATTATACGCTAAAACTAACTACCAAAAGACGAGTAAGTGCACAATTACTAAAGTGGGACTCTAAATTTGAAAACTTACTCAGTATCAAGGATCGCTCGTAGTTCTTTTGCAGTCAATTTTTTTAATCGACGATCAGTCCTTTTTGTTTCTTTGGAATCATCTTTGTTTGGCAAATTTAAGCCTAGCTGCTTATTTGGAGTATACCCCAACAGTTCCGCTTTTAAATTTCTTTTATAATCGTCTTTTGTAAAATATTCGAGCGTGTACAGTATTTACTTTATCTCCACGTTACTTTATCTCCACCAACAGCTTTATATCTTTTGTAACAGTAGATCTTGTATTTCCAAATAAAACACTGGATTTCCCTCATAACTTCTTTATTACATTTTAGTACTTAGGATTACGACACAAACATGTGTATCGTGCGAGCGCACGGTACCGACTGACTGCGGCGGGCGCCTCACTCACAATCTTATCTTCCGTAACATTCTATCGCCTGTCATAAAAATCATGCATTATGAATAATACAATCTGACATAATACATAAACCATAATTTGTTAATCATAACAATACACTATAAAAACAAGGTACTCATAAAAATCATAACACTCAGCCATCCTACTTTCCGGTCGTCCTCGACTTCCCTCCTTTATTGCTTCTGAAAAGATAAATAAAAAAAAATAAAAAAAAGAAAAAAATATTTATTTTAAGTTTCTATGCTCGCATTAGAGCATTACTTATTTTAAGTTTATGTCTTTTAAGTTTTTGGCTCGCATTAGAGCTTTTACTTATTTTTCTGGTTTTATGCTCGCATTAGAGCGTTATTTGTTTTTAAGTTTTTATGCTCGCATTAGAGCTTTACTTATTACAAGTTTTATGCTCGCATTGAGGCTTGCTATTTTAGGTTTTATGCTCGCATTAGAGCTTTATTTGTTTTTAAGTTTTTATGCTCGCATTAGAGCTTTATTTATATTTAAGTTTTTATGCTCACATTAGAGATTTAGGGCCGATTTCATAATCAATTTAAAGTTAACTTTAACTACTAAAGCTCCTTTAACTAGGGTGACCAGATTTATTTGCAGAAAAGTAGGACAACCAGGACAAAAAAGCCTGATTTTTAATAAAAAAACCTGACATTTAACAAATATATTTATATAAAAAAATGTAACAATTTCTACTTAGGTAAAAACTACTTATACTTTTCAGAAGAACCAATTTCTTTTAAAATATTGGGATTGTCATCAAATAATTATAATATTCCTCACAAGACATTTTTAAATTAAATTTTAACACTATGAGGCTTTTTATTGATTCGATAGATAAACGGTTTCTTTCTTTGGTCCACTGCGCTGCGATTAAAGAAAAAATTCGCTCGACGGCAGCATTATGTGCCGGAATAGCAAAGTAAAATTCACAAATTTTAAGCAATTCTGATGATAAATCAATGTGTTTTAATTGCTTAAAATAGTGAACCACTTTTATCTAAAGATAATGATAAAAATTCCTCATTTTGAATCTTTGTTGTCAAACTGTCTTTTAATAAAATGATTTCATCAATTAGTTTTGTGTCATTAATTTCTACCCCTTTGGACAAATTCAATACAGAACCCAAAATATCATTAAATTTAAAGTTTATTATCATTTAAAAAGCATCCATTGAAATGAATTAAATTCTGCCAATGGAGCGGCCCATTTTTCTAAATAGTCTATACATTTAGTATAGAATTGCCATACTTGCTCCTTAAAATCATTAACTTCTTTTTGTAATCCCTTTTCCCTTATCACATTTAACTGACTTCTTACTTTTAATGGTATAAATTGCTCGGAGAGCCTTCCTTGTAGTGCTGTGAGGACTGATGCAAAAATGTCCTGCACTTCCAAAATGGAAATATTTTCTTTTCAGTACAAACGCGTTTACATGGAAGAGTAATGCATAGTTGGATCTATATTACACAAATACATTTCTAATTCGCTCTCAAAAAATTTCTTGTATGGCTGATCTTGCTGAGATTCAAAGTAGGATTTAAGTGCCGGATAGAGTTTAAGAATCCGTTCAATGGCTGGGAACATGGATAGCCATCTTGTTTTGCTATGATATAAAAGTGGTTTAGTAAAGGATATTTCAACAAGTTGCAAAATTCTGCTTCCGTTCTTACCGTGTAGATTGAAAAGTAGTTAAATATTTTGAAGATGATGTAGTCCACATCACAATGCAGTTAATCAGCTCCATGCTGTATACAATTATGAAGAATATGGGCTGGACAACCTATACCAACTATATCTGAATTTAAGTCTTGCTTCATGTTGCTTAAAACATTTTCTGTTTTCGTCTTGCGAGACCTCCAAAGTTTACATTAGCATTGTCACCGGAAAAAGCAATACACTTGGAAGTAATGTTACATGGTTTGTTATCGAATGTTACGGTATGGCTTCAGCCGTTTCACTTGAAAGGGCAGATAATTCCAATACCTGTGTCTGAATTCCGTTGAACCATTGAAAGTACTGGACAACAACAGGAAACATTTTAGTAGCTCCATGATTACTTGCATCTGTACCGATACCATAGAAATTTACAGAATTTAGACTTGATATTAATGTTTCTTGTGCGTGAGGTGATAGTACATGATTAACAATTGCTTCAGTTTTGTTCTTCACATCGAGACTTATTTAAAACTTATTAAAAAAAAAAAAAAAACACAAAGAATATGTTAAAACTTAAAATTTAACTATTAATAACTGCATAGGTACCTTTTTTAATAACGGTATTTTTTTCCTAGTAACTTTTGGCTGAGCTGTTTTACTAAATTGAATAAATAAATATTTAAATACATTTTAGTACAGCCAAGTACATAATATTTTATTATCAGATCTACAAAAATGTCTAAGCTTATTTTTTTATTTATTTCTGACTTTTAACTCGAAGGTGAAGAAGTGTTTTTAAAACACGCTGTATATATTTTTTTTTTTTTTTTTTTTTTTTTTTTTAAGAAGAGATGAAGTGCAGTCCAACGATCTATAAGACTGATGGTGCGAAACGGTGTGATATGCTAATGTACCTTCTGCAGCTTTAAGTTTAAAATCAACTGAACTATTCTTTTGGACGAAAAAGTTATCCAGTTTCATGCAAGAGGAAGAGGCCTGAACACTTTTCTTGTGTTTTTCCGTAGAAATATGTTTTTCCAAATCTGCTGCTCCTTTGCTGCCAACAGAAACAAACGAATCACAAGGCACACATTTGGCTTCTTCTTCGTTTCGGCCTTTTACAAAAAGTTTGTATTTTGTCGCCAGTTTTTCGGTAAATTTACACTTTCTTTTAGACATGATGTTTACTTGCTGCTGCTGAACTTAAACTGAACTATGAATACTCAACTGTGAAACTGTGTGAAACCGCGGGTGAAACGTCGGTTTTGCCTGTACTCGGGGGAAACCGCAGTCAAAGATCAAAACAAAACAATTAAAAGCGATTTCGATTTTACGCACGCTCTCTGGTTGTGTCGATCGGTATGGGTTTGGTTGTGTCGGGTCGGTATCGATATACGCGACGACCGACGCGGCGCGGCGTTGCCAGCTTGAGAAAGTCGGAACCAGGAATAATGATAATGTGCGTTTTTAGTTATTTAGAATTTTCGATTGATAAAAAGCCGGACACGACAAAAAGCCGGCCTGACGTTTTCATTTAAGCGAAAAAGCCGGACATGTCCGGCTTTATCCTGACGTCTGGTCACCCTACTTTAACTTCTAATATGGATTTCATAATTCATTTTTAAACCTCCTTTAGTGCTAAAGGCACTTTAAATTTAAACCGCCAGGTTATCCACTTTAGACGCTAAAGTTGACTTTAAAGCTTCTTTAAAGTGATAACCTAACCTCAATTCAGTTTAATCTTTAGTTTTGGTTCAGCCACGTTTTGTCATTTGTGCGTTTTCTAAAAACTTCGTTGTTTTTTATTTGATTATAAAATGAATTTAATGGATACGGATACTTCATCAAGTTCGAGTTCATCAGAAGAAGAATTAGTTTTTGTTCGGAGAAGAAAAATATACCGAGATCGTCAAAATTATTACGAACTATACGATGATTTGGATTTTTTCTGTAGATTTCGTTTGACGAAACCTACAGTAATGCAAGTACTAGGAGAGATTGAACCGCAAATCCGTTTACCTACAAAATAGGTTTATATAATAACAGGTAGTATTAATTATGGTATTGTTAATGTCAACAGAATTTCAGAGGAGGATGTGTCCCACCCTTGCTACAATTATTGCTAACATTAAGATTTTTTGCCACTGGGTGTATGCAGATTACTGCTGCTGATTTTATCGGTGTATCGAGGGCTACGGCATGTCGTGTTATATCAAGGGTAACAACAGCATTAGCAGCTCTAAGGCCTAGATATGTGAAGATGTATTCCGATAATGCCGAAATGCAAAGAGCATCAGAAGATTTTTATGGCTTAGCGTCGTTTCCAAGAGCAATAGGAGCAATAGACTGCACTCTGATAAAAATTGATTCGCCTGGAGGAGAAGATGCAGAAATCTTCAGGTGCAGAAAGGGTTTTTTTGCATTAAATGTTCAGACTATTAGTGATGCTAAATTAAAAATCCGAAACATTGTTGCAAGGTGGCCAGGATCTGTACACGACCAAACTATTTTTAATAATAGTCAAGTCAAAAGAGAATTTGAAACAGGCAGGTACGGAAGGTATATTTTAGTTGGAGATAGTGGATATGCATTAAAAAAATATCTAATGACAAAACTGTTGGAGACCAATACCGATGCTGAAAATTTATACAATGAATCCATAATACGAACCAGAAATGTTGTCGAGCGTCAGTATGGTGTGTGGAAGAGGCGGTTTCCAATTTTAAAGAATGGGATGCGGGTAAAGTTGGAAACTGCAATGGATATTATTGTTGCTACGGCTGTATTGCACAATATTGCCCTCGACATGTCTGAAGACATCCCAGGGGAATGGCTAGAAGATGCTGAAGAGGGAGAAAATGCTGAAGAGGGAGATGGCATTTTGGAATTGCCAAATGAAAATATTAATTTTGGTAGACAATTTAGACAAGTACTAATAAACCAACACTTTGCTGGACTTTTGTAACTATCGAACTTGTAATATAATTGTTTGAAATACCTTTTTAGCTAAATAAAAATTTATTTATTTGTTTATATGTAATTTATTTTAATCAAAATGCAAACTAAAACAATTAAAAATTATAAACTTTAACTATACCTAAATTAGCCACGAAAAACACGTTATTTTGACAATTCCTTTTTTTTAGTTCGATTTCCAAATCAGGTAATATCATTTTTCATATGTTCCTGGTCTTCTCTCTGTTGTTTTTTTCGTATTAACTGTTTACCCAATCCCATACTCTTCTCCATTAATTCAGTTTTCACCCTGTAATATTCTAATTTAACTGTATGCAGAGGATTCGATACTGTAGGTCTCAGCTGTAGCAGTTTTTTCAATTTTGTAGGAGTATAATTGCTCCAGTCTTCGGTTTTCTATAATAGAAAAGAATATTAAGGCAGATTCTCACGATTCATGTACTTGACAAACATTTGTAATTGGTATACAGGATGCATCGGACATCTATACAGACTGTATGCCAATAAAAAATATATGTCAAGTACATGAGTCGTGAGAGCGCGCCTTTAGATAGGTACTATAAGATTTTTTTTTTTCATTTAATAACACTTTAAGTAATATATTATTACAATTACCCTTTTACATTCACTTTCTAATTGTTTTTCTACCACTGGCAAATTTGTATTTGGTGTTTCAGGATTGTCAGTACTTCCTTCCTTTTCTTTCTGGTCGAGCTGAATCTGTAAAAAAATGTCATAGTTAACCAGGTTCCCATTTAAAAGAAGATAAAAATAAGGGACAACCTTAACAAACTGATTCGAAAGATCTAATTACTTACAATGTATGGTGGCGAAACGGGAATAATAGTGAATCCAGTCAATGACTGTTGATCCCTGGAGGTCGATGGTTGTGGTCCACTGGAGGTCGATGATTGTGGCTCACAGGGGGTCGATGGCTGTGGCCCACTGGAGGTTGATGGTTGTGGCTCACTGGGGGTCGATGGTTGTGGCTCACTGGGGGTCGATGGTTGTGACTCACTTACACAAACCTAAAATAATTATATTTAAAAAGTCAGAGCAACTATTGTGTTCTTACCACATCAGTATCACAATCATGTTGTGGTTTAAGTCCAGCCACTAACTTAGAATTTAAAATATTCAAAACTGCTTGTATGACTGGATCTATGTGATCATTATTTGATGGACCACCGCCAGTACCCAAAATATTCTTTTTAGATTCAGCAACAACTTTTTTTGCTTTCGTTTTTAAGTTGTCATGCCCTGCAGCTGCTCAACTTTTTTTGTTACTACTCCTACTCTTTGACTATAGGAAGCTAATATTTTGTCCCAAACATAGTCTAAAATAAATAAATAATCCAGTTTAATTGTGTTATTCGACCACCAAACTTCATAAAAATAAATAAATTTATATAACATATATCTTTATATAACAAATATCTGTAGTCATACCTTCTCCTTTTGTTTATTTTGTTTGTAGTTGCATTCTATAATGTTATCTTTGCTACTTCTTCTAGTATCAATTCCTCCTCCTTGGTAAAATTAGCACCCCGGCTTCTTTTCAGGTTTTAAAGACTAAAATAAAAATAATATAAATACCTGTTTTGGCCATTACATTGTTATTAACTTACCTTTCAGACATCTCTATACGAAATATTAGAAACAACTAGAATATAAAAATAAAACGATATTACAGTAAACAAACACGTCAACACACGCCAAACACCAAGAATAAAATGAAATGATCTCGTGGTGAACACGTGGACAGAGAAATAAAAATCTGTAACAGCAGATAACTCAGCATCTGTGGTATAACCATAGATCAAATAACATACAATTTCATACTCATTTGAACTATTAACTAGGAATCGGTGTTACCAACATGAATTTTTAACGTTTAAAAAGTATGGTTAGAATCTTTAGCTAAGTCGCTTTATCCCAGTTATGAAACTTCAAATTTAAAGTCGCACATCTAAAGTTACATTTATTAAAGATAAACTTTAAGTGAATGATTCAAATCGGCCCTTACTTGTTTTTAAGTTTTTATTGTCGCAGTTAAGGGCTTTACTTATTTTTTGGTTTTTATACTACTGATGGAAGCTTTACTTATTTTTTAAGAAGTTTTTTAATGCTCGCATTAGGCTTTATTTGTTTTAAGGGGACAAACCGCATTACGAGGCTTTTTACTTATTTTTATTTTTTTTTTTTTTTTTTTTTTTTTTTTTTTTATTTGTTTTTTTATGCTCGCATTAGGGCTCTACTTATTTTTAAATTTTATGCTCGCATTAGAGCTCTACTTATTTTAAGTTTTATTGCTTTCGCATTAGAGCTCTACTTATTTTAAGTTTTTATGCTCTGGAAGCTTTATTGTTTTAGTTTTTATGCTCGCATTAGAGCTTTACTTATTTTAAGTTTATATGCTCGCTTTAGAGCTTTATTAATTTTAAGTTTTTATGCTCCCATTAGAGCTCTACTTATTTTAGAATTTTATGCTCGCATTAGAGTCTACTTATTTTTAGGTTAGCAATACGTAACTTTAG